AAGCCAGCTCGGGAGCTTCTTTCATCAGCAGATCCACCACCCTGGTATGGCCGTGCCTGACAGCTTCATACAGGGCGGTGGCCCCCGTCCAGTTCCTCGCGCGCAGAGCCATCTGCGCGTCCGCTCCAGTAGTCCGCATCGTGGCCAAGATGCTGGCGGCCACGTCCCTGCTCCCGGACTTCGCCGCACAGTGCAGCGGCGTGTCCAGGCACTTGTTGCGCGTGGCAACGAGCGAAGGCGCCCTGTCGCAGATGAGTGCCGCGAGCTCGGCGTGGCCGCGGCTGGCGACCAGATGCAACGCTGTATTCCCATTGCTGGTCACGCCATGGAGGCAGCTCGTTCCCGGCGGCGGAGGCGGAGGCACTGCGCCCGGTGCCACCGCGGCCTGGACGGTTATCGCCACCTGGCCATTTGTTTGCTTTTCTCTTCGCAGCAACTCTGCCAAACCGACCGTGTCGCCGGCGGTAAGCACCCGGAGCAATTCTAAGCTCAGGCCCATTCGGTGAGGGCCGAATGCAACCATATCCGCCATGATTGACTAGGAAGTCTGGATCTGCGAATGGTATATTTAACAAGATTGCTTAATGGAAGGTCCCGTGACGGTCAAAGAATGAATTGCGTGCTTAATTTTAATTTTTATAATCCGCTTAAAATAAACAACCACAAAAAACCATAAATTATCCTGTTAAGATGTGCACTTGAGGTTTTTATAGTGTGATCTAACTTGCCATTAGTCTACATATATATACACTACGAAGCTTCTCTAAACTTGGAGGGGTCTCCTTGTCCTACAACCGGAGAGCAACCAATTGTGCTCTAAAAACAGTTCATAGGACTAAATTATTTTTTATGGACTGGCTGAAACATCGTGGAAGAAACAATAGAGCAGGACATAGCAAAAGTCGCCCATAGGACTATGGACTGCCCATAAGAAATAAAAAAATATTTCTCTCCGTCTCTCTCTGTACCGGCCCTCGAGGCTACCGCTCCGGCCATCCGCGCCGCCCGTGAGGCCACCACAGCCATTCGCGCCCGCGAGGACACCGCCACAGGCATCCGTGTGCCCCGCCACCATCTGCACGTCAAACATGAGGAGAAGCGGCCACCAAGCGGCGCCGCCTCTACGCCAGCGAAGGAGAAGCGGATGAGGGAGGGGCCAGACCTCGGCCCTTAGCCTCGCCGGCGGAGGAACAGAGGAGGGACGGACCAGATCTCAGTCACCCTGGCCACTCCGCTGCGAAGGAGAAAGAGGAGGTGGACGCCGGCCTTCCTCCGACAGAGGAGGAGAGGAGGTGGCCGCCGGTATATGCAGGAGAAGAGGAGGGCGGCGCTAGCAGAGAGAACAAGCGGCGCCAGAGTGGAGTCGCGGAGAAGATGCGATGCGCCACGAGAGAAGTGGACTGCGGGAAGAAGATGCTGCTCGTCAATTGGGACTGTGGGTTTTTTATTTTTATGTGGACCCCACCTTATGGGCTGGACATCGTGAAAGATGAAATATCAAAAGACTACTGACATCGAGGCCCACTCATATGGACTGGTTTGGCATATACATTGAGCTTGCTCTGACACAGTGACGCTGCTCCAATGGAGATAGGAGGGTATCTGCCTAGAGGGCCTCCAATGCTCTCACCAGAAGGTCAGAACGACTTCACAGGCTCTTGCTCGCAAGCATATATAATAAGGCCGCAACAGGCCAAAACTCCTAAAGCTGTCAAGCTCTAAGTTATGAATTTTAGTGTCTATCCTAGCATAGGATATGATATTGTTCTTCTTGAGAGGATGGATGGAGTGTAGAAAACACCAGCTCTAACTTATCTCAGCCTTGGGACACTCCAACACACTCAAAGAAGTGAGACAGCTCCATGTATATGCCCCCATCCCCTTTTTTCTCGCCCACGCAAAATGTTTGTGCGTCTTTGTATTAAGGTAAAAAATATTTAATACAACACGCTTTAGCGGCACCCTAGGTGGTAAGAAGAGTGGTATATTGACGCTCGGATCCTCCCTAGTGTACTTAAGGCTATGTTGTTACATTGGACACTGATCAACCCGACTTGCAGAGCTGGCTCCCAGACGCTTCAAGAGAAGGTGCTCACCTCGCTTGGATGTCGGCATATGCGATGTACTCTACGTCGCTATCCGCCTGCTCCTCTTGGGGAGCATGGGCGATGTACGTCCGGCGTGGACCGTATCAACTCCGAGCAGCTCCAGGAGTGGCGACTGCCTTGCCTTTGTGATTCGCTCGGTGAGGCATTTGTGTCAGGTATCAGTATTAGGGATACTTGGAAGAAGGAAGCTGATGGCCGCGAATGCTAATTCGCCCGGATGGTCAAGAGCGTATTTTGGTCTCGCCTGACCCCGAAGGTACGGGGTCTATCTCGCCCGACCCCGAGGGTGCGGGCTCCGTGTCGCCTAAACCCGAGGACGCGGGCTCCGTCACGCTTGACCACGAAGGCGCGGACACTGTCTCGCCAGACTCCTCGGGCGCAGGCTCCGTCTCGTCCGATCCCGAGGGTGCGGGCTCCGTCTCGTCAGACCCCTCGGACGCAGACTTCGCCTCGTCAGACCCATCGAAGGGGGATTTAGCCTCGCCCGACGGGGTCCCTACCGCCTCCAACCACTACGGGTCTAAGAGTACGAACCCCGGGTCAAACTTCTAACAGCAGAAAGGAGGTAGGCGCGTCTTGACATGACCCGCGGCCACGACGGGCAATACCTGAGGACTCACGTTGCCAACATGTCGGGCGTGCCGGCGCTATGCTACCTAATCCCCGCACGACTTCCGATAGGGGTATCTGCTAACCATGGCGCCCGCTGGGACAGAATGGAGCGCCATGACCGGCCGACGACACCCGCATATAGCGCTAGGTTTAGTTCAGGATCTCTGTACCCTAGTTCGGTACATGTTCTCACATGCCATTTCATGTGTTGTGTGTGTTGAATTATATAATGCCCTACTTCATTAGGTTTTATTTACAGCACGTGATCACGTTTCACTACGTTCGTAATATTAAACTGAATATTATGACCACAAATAATGAAAACAACTACATAATGAAAAGTCCAATACTATGACACATTAAACAACACAATAATATTAGAAGTACGTGCCGACAAGCTAAATAACGCAGTACATGACCTAAGCATGCCCATACTTAAAGTGCATTACATGACAACACAATGAAAAGTCCAACAGTAGACAACATTGTTCATGAATAAATCATAGAACTAGCAAGTAATGGAGACTACTAAGTGCAACGAGGCCACTTTTTCTTCTCCAAGGCATCGAGATTCTCCTCCATCGCTGCTTTCGCTCGGCGTGCACATTCAAGCTTCTTCTCTCTCTCCTCCCTGTACGTAGCAACACGCCTCCTTTGCTCATCTTCCTTGTGCTCCTTTTCTGCAGCCTCCTCTCTGCGTCTCTTCTCCATCATCTCCTTGTCCTCTGCCTCCCACCGCAACAGTTCTGCATCCATTCCTTGTCTTCAGGCTCGATCTCAGTGTGGATCCACTGCTCAAAATCATAGAGCGGCGGAGGGGTCTGCAACAAATGCAATTATTACAAAACAAAAAAAATCATGCAAGCTGTCATATGACATAAAATAATTATTACACAACATCAATTCATCACCATCTTATTAATGCAGCGCTGATAAAGTGTAGGCTCAAACGCAAAATTGGAACGCATCCAATACCTCTGTCTATACGTGTCCTCTTCATTGGACTTGGCTACCTTACAAGGATCGTCGCAAAAGCACATGGCCACTAGAACACCACTAGGCAAAGGCAATTGGTCGAAAGCATTTCCGGTCATCCGGCCAGAACCGAAAGCAATTAACATTAAACCCTACACCTAGGGTTTCTCATTTGATCCACAACAATGAACCCATAACATAACAAAATGCACTGAGATTACCTTGGTTTGCTAGCTTGTTCACGTCTTGACATCCTACGGTTGTATAATATAAATATTAAAATAGCATGAAACCCTAAGTAATGACGATTCTTAAGTTGAAAAATTCGACTAATATATACCGAATCGATGTGAAAAAAAAACTAGGAGGGAGCGAGGATACCTTGCTCTCGAAGATCTATGGATCAAATCAAAGTTTTCAAGATCCAATATGCCGATTCGTGAGGTAGAGTAAAGTGGGGAGAGAAAAAATCCAAGAGGAGAAAGAAGAGGAAGAAGGCTCGGGTAGCAAGGTTGGGCTCCGGGTTAAAACACCACCTCGGCGCCATAGATCTTCGCGCCGAGAACGGCGCCGATAACCCCGGCGCTGTGCTGCTTGCCAGGTCAGCATCCAGGCCGCCAACGTGGCCCCGACCTGGCGCCAAACCCTTTGGCGCCGAGACTTGTAAGCTCGGCGCCACCAACGATGACGCCGAACTAAAGAGTCCAGATTTTAAAAGCATACCTGCAGAGACGTGAAAAACTTTAAAAAAAAGGGGCAAAAAAAAAACAAAAAAGTTGGGGCACGGCCTAAAGGCCATCTCCAGTGACCGAAGCAAACCAATGCAGGAAATCAACTTGACAAAACTTCATCTTGCTTTGGTCACAGGATATCTGTCAGGGGTTCTCTCCTTCACGATTCAAAGTGGATCTGGATCTGGTGAATCTAGAGCTGATGAATCTCAACCAAACAGGCCCTAAACCGGCTTTGACAAAACTTTCTACAAGTCTCAACCCCTTGCTAGAATTCCATAGGGATTCCAAAGGGTCTCATTGAGCCGTCACATTTACAACCATGCCAGACATTCACCTACGCTGTGACTAAATTGATAAATTCAACCAATTATCTCACCAAAAACGAACAGAATCGCCAACTGGATTCTGAATAGTGTCAAAACTGAAAATCCAAAGATTGGACGCATGTGTACAGAATTACAAAGATAAGCATACATAACAATGAAACTATTTCGAAGCCTAACTGAAATCATTTTCCCCCAAAGGTGTTTCACTAATTAAGTGTAATAGCTGGAACAAAAAGGTGCTCTTTTTATCGGTCAGCTCCAGCTGTATTGGAGTTTTTGAAAGCACCAAGGTTCCTCTTGAGAGACTTGACAGCAGACAAAATTTGCAGCTTCTCTGTGGCTGAACCATCAGGTTTCTGATCATCATTGTTAGTAGCAGCATCGTCAGGTGGTACTGTACCTCCCAGAGACGAACCCTCCAAAGGAGGTTCCCTGCCTGATTTGCCTCCATGTGGCCCTGGCTTCCCAGCTTGCTTTCGCATGAAGGCCGCACTCCTATAAAATAACATTCCAGCACGGGTGAACACCAAATCAGAAATATTAAGGAAGTTTCTCACCGTATCATAATAAGGTAAAATGTATACAGCACGTACCTCTTGTACTGGGGATCAGTAGGATCCAATGCGAACAAGTGAGACGTAAACATTGGTGAGAACCTCTCATCCTTGCTAAGATCAATATCAGGAAGTTTGTCCTCAGCAGATTCCTCTTTGCTCTTCTTGCCCTTTTTACCCTTTTTACGCTTCAGGTTATAACCCTTTGCACCATTGGCGGTGTCCTGATCACCAGCAACCAAGAGCTCCAACTCTTCTTTGGTTGCTTCTTGTTCCAAATGCTCCTCTGTGGTTTCATCCTTTCCTTTCCTCTTTGCTTTGTCCTTTGCCTTTGCCTTGTGTTTCTTGCTTTTGCTTGGCTTAGGTTCTTCATCAGACTGTTCATCTGCAAAGAAATCATCATCATTCTCACGCTCATCTTCACTGCTGTAGTCGTCATCATCGTCTTCATCCTTTACTCCCCTCTTCCTAGCCTTCCTTTTCTCTTTCATTTTCTCTTGGTGCTTCTCCCAGACGGTCTTCTCCTCATTGTTCTTTCTCTCTAGGATACGTTTACTAAGATCCTCAAGCTCTGTGTTGAATGTAATCTCCATATCCTGGCCATCACTTTGCTCCTCATCAGATTTGTCACCTTGCAGCAGAAGAGCCAACCTCTCCTCTTTTGTTAGCTTCCGTTTGGATCCCCCATTTGGTAGAGATTCGTCCTCAGAATTGTCTACACCTTCATCATCTGACGCACTGCCATCACTTGCTAAATACATGTCAAGCTCATCTAGCTGCATCAGAAAAATAGAAACAAAAGTTGTATATAAGAGTACAAGAAATAAATAATTACAAGGATAAATAGGAACATAAAAAAAAACAAGACCTAACCTGATCATCAGTGAACTTTCGCCTCAAGACTTTCTTACGTTCAGGTTCATCATCATCCCAGGTGAGCTTAACTCTGCTATGTTGCAAAGCACGAGTCTCGAAATCAGGTTCCTTGTAATTCGGAGGTGCCTGAAATCATTCAAGTTATTTACAAAACGGAAGCTTCATTTAGCATGACTAGGACCTTGTACTTCATAGAAACCACAAAGTAAGAAAAGCAATGGAAAAGGGAAATAAGTATCAGTCTTTTTTTTTTTTAAAAAAAAGGCACTTGTCACTATGCTATTCCAATATTTCGTCACTGCTCAACTAATACTACTATGAAGAAATTGGTTCTGGATACACTCAACAAAGGAAGGTACCTCTGTAGCGACGTCTCGAGCAGGGTGTTTGAACTCCCTAGAGTCAGGAATGAACTGCAAATCAAACACATTTGCTGTTTTCAAGAACTCGGTCCCATCAAGAGTCATGTACAGGTGATTTGCTGTTGCGCTGGAATCACACACCACAACTGCATAGTAATACCTGCAGCAGGATCAATTGAAGCATGAGAGCAGAAAAACTGTAACCCTTGTATACTAACACTGTAATATGGAACAAATCGAAAAAAACAATTGACAAAAATAATATGAAAGCAATGCTAAATATGTCAAGGAGACTCCATCATAACTAATCTAATACACGCTTTTGTGGCTATCAGTTTGAAGATGCCAATTTTATGTCATTTACAACTCAATAACTCATGGCACAGGAAAAACAAATAATAATAAAAATCTATCATCAAATGAATGTCACTCCAATTCAATATTAACCTGAGTCTGTTTAGCTCATAAGCACGCAGCTTGTTGTTCTCTTTGTCGGAGTCAACTTCCTCTTCTTCTTCTTCATCATCATCAACAACATCATCGTCAGTGTTCTCTTCATCATCATCCTTGGCATCCTCATCTTCATCACTGTCTTTTTTATCAACATTGGCATTGACCAGAGCAGCTGGGCCCTGTGTTGACTCAATTTCCATGCACTTCAGTCCAAATTCTGATGGATAGATTGAGACCGACAAAACTCGGCCACCCTTTGGGAGGCAAGAAGTCATCACCATATACAGGTCAACTGCCTGTTGAAATAGGGATGAAAAAGCAATAATAGTCATTACATCATCAGTTCATTGCATTGAAATTTACCCATTAAAATTTGCTAGGAAGAACTTTAAAAAACACACATAAATGGTAAGGGGCTGTTCAGGCCTTCAGTTTTAGCAACAGACGATTTTCAATAAATGAGATCTGGATTTGGTATCATTCTATCAATCTTACATAGTTACGGTCCAGTATCTCAATTAGCAATTCTGTGCAGCCAGTAGGTAAAATCCTGTTTGATTATCTCCATCCTGATCCTATGTACGATCTTAATTACATAGAACCACACAAAATAGTGGCCCAACCTTCAAATTTGATGAATGAAGTTGTGTTTGTTGTCTGCACTAGCATCTAGGACTAGGACATCTGAAGTTAAGGTGCTTGCACTGATCTAGGTCCATTATGGTTTGGCTATCATGTATATACGAGCAATAGCTGATCAGCTAATGCATAAATAGGTCAAGGAACTCAGTGATTCACCATCAACATTTACTTTACTTTTAGTCCTTAATATTCCTTTTTTTTTCTTGCAGGAAGACACATGACTTTATCATTTGGAGTCAAGATACATGTTAGATTCACAGTTATATTTCAAGTAAAGTTGTTGATAGATCCAGTTAATTCTTAAATGCATGTAAAATAAGATAGCCTTTTAGCATAGCTGATATTTGTTTAGGCACATCAGTTCACGTCTCAGGATGAAATAATTATTGCACTAGAACACACCTTAATATGATCCCAGTCCATATTAACAACAGCAAGCCTGTGAGTTTCCTTGTCAATCATAGGTGTATCATCATGCCTTCCCATTAAGTAATGAGCAATGTCACTGCCAACAGAGCACTGTAGAAAAAAATAAAAACCAAGAATTAGCCATAAAGAAAATGGCATTTTGTAGCATAGCATATTGTTTTCTTTCAGGCAAAGCATCAACATAGAACTCTTAAAAATATCCTTTAAGCAATGGAAATAACAAGGCTGGTAAAAACAAAATAATAAAATATAAAACAGGATAGAGCATAGAAACACAGAAAGCTGAATTTGCAATAAAAATATTGAATTCAACAAAATTCTGAAAATATTACTACTATTGCCCCCCCAAACAAAGGAAAATTTGATTTTCTGGCTCCACATGTGCACCATTGTACAAGTGGATTTTCACATTTTTACAGAAATGAGGTGCGTTATGAAGGTTGTCAAGGCAGAAGAGAACAACACTTGGCAAAGAGAGATAAAGCATAGAAGCACTCCCAAAGTTTTCCTGGATGCAGGCTTGAGCACTTGTAGGGTTGTGTAATTGTCTATAATCACAAGCATATATCAATGGTACTGAGACAATCACTTGGACAATTACAGACATAAGCACGCTACTTCACTCAAAACAGGGAGTGAACTAACTAAGCAATGTTACTGAGATGTCCATACTCAAGTGTGCTATGTTGAAATGCACTACATAAATACACATATGTATAATATCTTCCAGTCCAGAATGGAGTCCTGAGGTCTGCATGGAAAATAGACTCTAGAGACTAGAATACAATAACTTGCACTGCAATAACTAAAGTGTGCTACTGCTATGTTGAGATGCACTACATAAATACGCATATCTATAATATCTTCCAGTCCAGAATGGAGTCCTGAGGTCTGCATGGAAAATAAACTCTAGAGACTCAATACAATAACTTGCGCTGCAATAACTAATTAGAAAAAGCACCGTGGGATTAAAACTAGCACCTTAACCTACATGAGATAAAATTAAGAAATTAATAGTAAAAAATAACCAACGAGGCTACTGTAAACAAGAAGGTGCTCGAATGCACATTGTTCTCCCAAGAATCTAAAGCATATTATCAACACTTGAAAGCAAGGGCATGAAGCCAGTATGACCGTACTGGTTTAAGATAAGTGCAATTTAGCTGGCGCAAGAGCTAAAGTGCATAGACCCTGCACTAATATTATAGGACGACAGAAAATGGAAGAAAGCTGCAAAACTTATATACAGATAGAAATTCCCGACCTCGGCCAGAGCAAAACAAGCTAAATGTAAGCTAAAGCATCAAAAGGACTGGAAGCAAAGCGTCACCTCGTCGTCGTCATCCAAGTCTTCATCTTCGTCGTCATCGCTGCTAGAGCTCTCCTCTTCCTCCTGCTCCTCTACGTCCTCTTCATCTTCCTCCTCCTCCTCTTCAACAAGCTCCGGTTTCTCCTTCTTCCCCCTCCCTTTCCCTTTCCCTTTCCCTTTCCCTTCCTCCTCCAAGTCCTCTTGGTTGAGGTAGTACTCCAGCATAGGGTTCTCGCGCTTCTTGCGGCGCCTCCCGCGCTTGTCCACGGGCGCGGCCGACGAGGCGAACCTCGGGTCCGTCATCATGCTGCTGAACCTCGAGTCCAGCGCCACCTTGGCCTCCTTCCTCCGCATCGGCCAGAACCGCGGGTCCGTCCGCGCCGCCGCGAACCGCTCGTCCTCCATCGCCCGCCTCATCTTCTCGTCCCTCCCATCGGCGGCCTCGGCTTCCGCTCCCTTTCCCTCGGGCTTCCGCTCCTTCTTGGACTTCTTGCCGTCCCGCTTCTCCTCGCGCTCGTCCTTGTGCTTGCGCTTCTTGCGCTCGGCGGCGTCGGGGACCGGGGCGCCCTCTGTGGCGGCGCGCGCCTTGTCCCTCTTCTTGTGCTTCTTCTCTTCGTTGTCGAGCTTGGATTTCTTGGCCTTCTTGTGGCGCGCGGGCTCGTCGGTGCTGGCCGGCGGCGCCATGGTGGCTGGCTGCTACGAATGCGAGGGCGCGGCGGCGACGAGGGATGCTCTTACCTCGAGGGCTGGCACAACAGAAAAGAGAGCACCCTCACCTTAAGCGATCCTTTTGGGCCAGGCCGGGCCACAAAGATTGGCCTGTGAGCCAACCGAGTGAGCCCATGGATCTCCTGCCAGGTGGGGCCCGCTGGTTTATGAGCCGCATCCCCTCGATGGAGATGGTGCGATTCCATTCGACAGACACGTCCGCACCGCACCAATTCGCTGGAGAACTTTCTAAAAAAAAAAGATAAAAGAAAAGAAAACCAATTCGCTGGAGAAGAAGAGGAAGAGGATACCGTACACGCCTCATTACGCCCATCCACCGATCCACGTGCTCGCCTCTCCCCATCGCGTAGCTTTTTCCTCGGCGGCGTCGCCATCTCACCGGCGGCGGGCGGGCGGCGGGCCGCCGGAGGCGATGGCGAGCTCGTCTGTGGCGGCGGACATGGAGCTGGACCGCCCGAACCTGGAGGACTACCTCCCGCCCGACTCGCTCCCGCAGGAGGCGCCCCGGAATCTCCATCTGTAATCGCCCTAGAGCCTGTCTCAATCCTTACTTTTCCGTTCCTTAACCCTAGTGCTTCGCTTGTACCACCGAGACTTATGAGGCTTTCTGCGCTTTTCTTCTGCTGTGCAGGCGCGATCTGCTGGACATCTCGCCGGTGCTAACCGAGGCGGCGGGGGCCATCGTCGATGTGAGTGCCTCCTCGGATTTTTAATCCTCTGTGTAATGTATTTTGGGTTAGAAGGTGCTGTCCTGGGTTCGTGGCAGAGGATTGGCTTATGATTTGTGAGGTTTAGCAAGTTATCTCTGCATAGCGGCAATTTGTGGAGATGAGTATCGGCTTTAGCTGCTGTCGTTTAACTGTTTCATTTATTCTGTTATTATCCCATTTTTTTGGTGGAAGACATATAAGTTGAAAAAAGGTGTAAGAACCGTTTCTGAAGAAAAAAAAACCCACACACTCCCACAAGAAAAGGAAAATCTCACCTTTAATAACTAACGCATTAACATGATCCTGATCCAACAAGGCAACAACAGCTACCCATCATCCTCGTGGAGCAAGTGCAAGAAGTTATGTGATTCCTCGAGCCCCTGCCAAACCCTAGAGATGGAGCTCCTCAACAGCAAGCGTCAGAGCTCTAGCTATGCTAGGAGCAGAACCATCAAGCGTGCACCAGTCATGGTGTTCCCAAATTGGCGAAGTACATAAGATGACAACATAGCTCAATGCCCTTCCTAGCTTGCTCGTCGACCAAACGCTCAGCTATAGCCCACCGTTCGTCAAAGGAACTTCATTGAATCTGTTATTCATGACTTTATTATCTGGAATTTTGTAGGAATTTGATATATTCCATTCACCTGCTAGATGTTCCATTTTATTTAAAAGTTCTTCAAGGTCAATTTTCTGGCTTTGGTGTATGAAATAATGGTGTAAAACTTAATCTTGTAGTTAATTTAGATGAACTTACAAAAAAATCATTTATTGAAAGTATCTAATTGGCCTGATTTTGTGAATCTTTCCTGTAGAGGATTTATTATTGTTTCTGTGAAGTTTGAGACTTCACAATTCACAAATTTTATCAATTATTAAGTCATCCCCTTGCTTAGCAAGATTTTCATTTGGTTGTTTAAAATGTTGATTTTTTTTGCAATTTGTAGTTAATTGTCACCACTCTGGTGAATATGAAGAAGTACTACCTCAGTATTAAGGATTTCAATCTGAGTGAGCGAGCCTCCTTTTTAGATGATCTGCTAATAGTATAGTAAATCTTGCCAGGATACTAGCCTTTGTGGAGCATCTAGGTACCAGCTGCCCTTTTGTTTTAATTGCAATTTAAATGAATTATCTAACCAACCTTGCGGTGACCCTGTCCATCTGCCAGCATATTGCTCTTGTTGGAACCAATCGTGCTTGGTTCAGTGTTTAATTTTATTTTCTTTCATTGTGCATTGTGGATACATAGTTTTTGGTATAGCATTCGTACTCTTATAGGCTGTTGTGGAGCTAGTTGAAGCATATTATTGGAAGAACCACATACAGTCTATGCCATTCTAAATAATGACAGTTCATATTTTTGTTTTACATTAGTTAATTCCAATTGTAAAGCTCATGCCACATTGTCAAGTGTCAACTAAGATCTGCAGGAAATCTTCCTATGTTCATATAGATGGAACATGAATATCCTGTTTGACACGAATATTAATTGGATGATCCTTTGTAGGAGTATATGTATATAGCCTGGTTAAACCACAGAACAGCTTATGTTTGAGGTGGAAAAATCCAGGTTATGTGTTTGTTTGCAAAGATGTTATCATTACATAAAATCTTCCATATCTTCATATTTTTATTTCTTCTGTACCACTGTATCTTTGACTTAAATTGCTGTATGAAATAAACAGGATAACATTTGTTATTCTGACTCTTCCTTATTTGTTTCACTGTGTAGTTATTTTATTGACTGTATTTTACTCATATGCAGGATTCATTCACGCGTTGCTTTAAGTCGAATTCTCCAGAACCATGGAATTGGAACATATATTTGTTCCCCTTATGGTGCTTCGGTGTAGTAATTAGATATGGAATACTCTTCCCACTGAGGTACTTGAGTGTTAAGATATTCCTAATTCTTTTCCCTGAGTAATTTTTGTCATTCAACTGATTAGATTACTCAGTTCTCAGACACTAAATTCTAAACCCACTCTTTCTTCAGCACTCGTGTTGTTCTGCAGTTGTTTGTTTATTGTCAGCACAAATTGGGAAGTGCTTGAAGCCAACATAACTAGCAAAACTTTTGGAGTCAAAAGAGGATTTAGGGAGGCCATAGGCCCTGTGTGGAACCTACTAGTTTGTACAATACTAAATATGTAATTGGGCCTATTTGGTTACCTCCACCTTTAATAAGATAACAATGTAAAAATGTCATGATCTACACTTGCTTTCATAGACCAGATTGAATTTTTTTTTTTATATCTAACCATCTCATCATAAGCCATCTTCTATGGCATACAGTCCAAATCTTCTTCAGTTGCTTCAGTAGTTTCCGGAAGCACAATTCACTTAGAAAATTTTGCCGATGAGCGTGTCAATGGAATTCATTTTCTTCTAGTGTTTCACCTTCCTCTATTTATTTTGTCAAACATTAAATCATCACCACCTGATTGTTTTAATTTTCTAATCAGGTCCTTAACACTTGCGTTAGGATGGTTAGCATTTTTTGCCGCCTTTTTTCCCGTCCATTTCTTATTCAAAGGTCAAGACAAGTTGAGAAGTAAAATTGAGGTAAGCTATTTAATCTGGTATATCTATGTTAGCTTGCATAGTATCACACTATCACTGTTCATCCATCATTCCTCAGGCTACTTCTGAGATGATGTTCTTGGAGTAATAACCTGCTGTTGCTATTTCAGGCCTTGTGACGAGTGACGACTTTAAACTATTGAATTATAGGGATTAACATCATCTACCTAGTTTGTCCCTTAAGTTTTTTTCAGTTTCATCTGTTTAGTTCATAATAAAGCTTCCATGGTGGCAGCAACTACCTGCATCATGAAAATCAATTATGACCGTCTATGCTACGGTTTTCCTCTAAGTCATCTTATTAAGCCTAGCAAGTACTTAAAAGATGGCCATTTCAAGCTTTTTGGAAATGTCCTGTTTTCACAGTATTTCTCATGAAATTGATATTTTGCTTTGCTTAGATTTGACTGCAAAAGAGTAGCACTAGGAGGATTGAACAGTTTCTGGTCTTTTTTTTAATAACGCAGTCTACATTTCCATACCTCCACAGTTTTTGTTTATTTGCTGTTTCTTTTTTACTTCATTTATATTGTTTATTCTTGGTCTCTTAATTACATTATTTTGTTTCAATCTTCATGTAGAGGAAGTTGGTTGAAATGATGTGCAGTGTTTTTGTTGCTTCATGGACTGGAGTGATCAAGTACCATGGACCACGCCCAAGCACACGACCTCATCAGGTTACCTTTTTCTATGTTTCGGTAACTCGTGTTTAGATTTGTGTATATGTAAGAACGTTAGAGGTAGGTGCTAATTTTCCATGCTTTTGAACTGTAAAACATAAGAGTGTTGGAACTAAATTTTATGCATTACCAAATATTGATTTTTCACAATTGTAAAAAAGATGTCGACTTTTTGCATTCAAAATTAGATTGCTTGTAGCTCCAATAAAATTGTGTTATTAGAATAATTAGGTAGGCCCATGTAAGCACTGTAGCTTCCTTAAATCTGAGTGCATTGCTGATAACTGCCCTTTGCAATTCTATTCCAATACATTAGGTATTTGTTGCAAACCATACATCAATGATAGATTTCATTATTCTGGAGCAAATGACGGCATTTGCTGTCATCATGCAGAAGCATCCTGGATGGGTTGGTGAGTCCCCGGTTCTTCAGAAAATTCTCTGCTGATTTAAGTTTCAAATGATTTATTATTATTTTCTCTATTTGTCTGTTCCCATTATTTGCAGGATTTATTCAGAAGACTATCTTGGAAAGTGTGGGTTGCATCTGGTTTAACCGTAATGATCTCCGGGATCGTGAAGTTACGGCACGGAAGTAAGTTTTGTCTTTGAAATGACAATCCCCTTGATTATGTAGTTTATTTTGCTCAAAGAATTGCATTGTCAGGTTGCGTGACCATGTTCAACAACCAGACAACAACCCTCTCTTGATTTTCCCAGAAGGAACTTGTGTTAACACCCAGTACACGGTCATGTTCAAGAAGGTGAACCCCATCTTCATTTACTTTGTGGTGTGTGCAAGTAACTACAGAACTTTTTTTGAAAAAAAATGTAAATTTCTATCTCGGCCTTCCTGGTAGCCAAACATGGGACGCTCTCATTGTCAGCTCGCTCATATGTGAGAAAGTAAATAGATGTCAGAGTTTAGAAGTTAGTCGCAGCATGGCATTTATTTGCATAATTTCTGACTTGCTGTTAT